ATGAAACAGGACTTTGTTGTGACCTTTATGTCTTAGTGATGTAGTCTGGTGTCTAAACTCTAGGTACTGGGACCAGACAGGAATACTCAAAGCACTTTGCAGCTGTCTAACAACATGACTTTTGATCCATTGCCATTAAACATCCATAAAAAGTTCAATATATCTCTCTTACTATTTTTATAATAGTTGTTAGTACTGCAGGAGAGAATTTATATATAAGACTTACTAATCTGTCTATGGGGCAGTCATAACAATTACAGTTTTTTAAAGTTGTGTTTATAATACATATATTTTATATAGGAATCTTTCATTATCTGTTGCATTAGCAAATAAAATTGTGTATGTGTATACACACACACACACATCTAATGATCTTGGTTGATAGATCTTTTATATACACATACAGTGTATATTAGTAAAATATCAAAGATGAAAACATTTTCAACAATTTAAAATAAATTGTAATATAATAAATTTGATTTATACTTTTGTATCAGAAAGCTAGATAAATCCATTGGGCATAACTTCATTTCCAACATACACAATATGTACACTGTATTTGAGGAAGCCCTGCTTTAAGAAATTATATATAATATTGCTAAATAACTGGAGCTTCAAAAACTAGTCAACAAGAACATAACTTACAAATGACAACATGTTGTAGCCTGAACAATAAAGCAAAAACCGTAATACAAAATGTGACATTTTCTAACAGTGTGATAAATTAATGGTGTTATAAAACCATGAACCATTGAGGCCCGTTCAAGTTTGTTAGAATTCTGAAACAAATTTATATGGCATCCATAATGTGTTCTTAAGCTGCTGTAACATTCCATACAAGCATGACCTAGTGTCCCAAGAAACTTTTATATTTATCTCTATGGGGAAAGATGTCTAAATAAATAAGAACAATATTTGGGTAATTGGATCTCTATTGTTAAAATTTCAAAACCAATCAACTTCAGAAGAGGAACACAATTTTCTGCACTGATCCTTTTGCCATTAGTATTTGATATCCTCCAAAGTGAAAGATTTATATAATGAAGACACTGAAACAGTATCAAGAATTTAGGCTACAGATGTTTCATATTTATTATGTTTCCAAGAGCTGAGATAAATACAGGAATAAGTGATACCATGTCTTTGCTTGACATTCAGGAGGCTTTGGCATATCTGATGAGATACAGTTTCAGGGTTTATCTAAGTGCAGAGTCTGTACAAAAAGAAAAAAGATACCAGCTGTTATTTTAGTTCTTTCTGCTGCAAAGGTTGGAAACCATTTGCAGTGAATGTGTGGGAAAATTATATTATGGACTGGGAGTATAATACTGCCCAGCAGGCACTTTGCTGGATTCATCAAAGGGAGCCACTGTTTCTCAAATCCAGATGTATATAATTTGGCTGATATTTTCAAAGTAGCCGAAGGAATTAAAATGCCCAGCTTCCATCAATTGTAACGTCACTAACAATTTGGGATTGGATTTTTCAAAACTACCTAAGTGATTTGGGAGCATGAGACTTGTGGACTTTCAGCAGGACTACAGTTTGAATCAACGCTTTTGCTAATCCTACCTTAGGTGCCTAAGCCACTTAGGCCCCTTGAAAAATTCAAGGCTTCTCTGTTTTCAGTTTTAACTATTAAATTCAGAAGTAAATAATATTGTGTCCTTGCTTGGTGTAAATCAGACTTGTGCCACTGACTCTCAATGGAGCTGCTCCAATTTACCCCAGCTGAAGAGCTGGCCCAGGAGCTGCATCTTTAAGCCTGGCAGCAGCTCGTGAGTAGCCCTTCAACCACACACTTAAGTATTAATGAATCGATTTCCATAGAAACTGACTCATTGGTCTGTAGGTATAGATTGATTTTAAGGGGTTATGAGAATGCATCTCCGGCTCTGTGACTGCCACAGGTTGTGCCTGCATTCCCTTGAGTGTGCAATTTACCCATTATCCTATTGTTTCATTTAGTAAAATGTGTAACTTGCGATTGGCTTTTGGCAGGAATTCACAGTCTGCATTTTACTGTGTAAATCAGGTATGGCTATGGGAAATTACTTTTCCTTCTTACACCATTCGTGCCTGACCCAAAGCTATTGAAGTGAATGGAAAACCTCCCCTTTACTTCAATGGGCATGGTTTTGGGACCTTTGGCATCAAGCATTGCTGGGTACATGAACGGTACCAGTTTCACCCTTGCTCAAATAGGATTTTCAAAATAGAATGAAGGGACAGAAGAGCTTCTGCTACATGAACAAGTTGTGGGCTGTGAAAAAGCATTGGGAGGGCTCTCTTCTGTATCCCCAGTGCACCTCAGATTGTGGCAGAAGTCAGAAATTTCTGGGTGGGTAAGGAACCTGGGGTCAGTCCCTATGCAAACAAAGGGCCTAGTGAATCAATGGGTGTTTGCAGAGAAGGTCTTATTGAAGCCTACATGGTCTGCCCCATCCAAGTGTTATTTTCTATGTCTACTGTATGGATTTTAACTGTGCTTGACTTATACATGTGTGTTTTCTGTGGGAGCTTATTAGGTTGTGATGGGTTAGCCGAACCGGGGGTTCATTCCATTGCATACTTTTTTGGCATTTCAGTTGTGCAATTGTGCTTTGTTAAAAAAAGGAAACCTTACCTCTTGGGCAATGTCATACCTGTTTTTCCTCTGTCCCCCTCTGTCCTTTCTCTAGGTTCGACACACCCCCCTACGTGGCGCAGTGCCCAGGGAACTCGGGATGTATGGCAGTTTTCGGATGGGAGCTCCAGATCGCTTAAATTCTGACAGAATGTGAAGCACGTGAGGGAACATGCGCCACGGTCCTGACATCTGAATGCGGTCCGTGTTCTTGCTAGCTTGGGATGCTGCTTCCCAATTAAAGCTTGAGAAGTCACTGACTGACAGCAGCATCCTACAGGCTCCCTCTGCCTGCCTGCAAGACTATCTTATTTATATTTTTAATAGAGTAAAACACTTTCTTTTTTTTTTTTTTAAACAAAAACCCACTGTCAAGGGCTTATTGATAATCAATGGCTTTGACTGGCTTTTGTGCCGCTTGGAGAAAGCCCTCTTGATAACACATTGATACAGTGTGGAGGACCCAATGTGCTGTTTATATCCATCCCATGCCATCTTTTAAAAGGTGCAGCTAACATTACAAATAACACAAAAAAAAAAAAGAGAGGGAGGAGGATGGGAGAAAATTGACATAATAAATGTTGGAGCTTTAGGTTCTGTTTGCTCTTTCTTTAATTTTTAATGCTAACAAGGACCATGCAGCCGGGATGACTTTGTATTACCACAGCCACTGCATAAAATCAAATGCTGCATTTAAAAAAGAAAACGAAAACCCATGTGTGCAAGTGGTTGTACAAATATGGAGGGCATACGTTTCTGGGAAAACTAAGAATGCAAAGCATTGGGGCTATTATCACTCTACCATAAGTAATGTAGAACTAGTGTTGGTGTTTATTAATACTGAAATGTGGGCGTCTCCTAACTGTCTAACTTCATTTGCATACCATTGAATAATGCCTACTGTGTTGTATTGCATTTTTGCTGTTAAAATATGTATTTTTGGGGTTGGGGGGAATCCATAACGGACTTTAATTTATCATTGTTTGTCTAAAAAGCTAACTGTTTCCACAGAGAATAATAATTTTGCTATAGCGGTCCTGTAAGCACCAAGAGAAGTGACCCCTTCCCCTCCCCTCATCCCTTAAACCTGTGGTGAATAATTAAGCTTTGTTATAATTAACCCATGCAAATAGTCCATACTCACACAGGCCCTGCTTATAAAGGCATCCCTATTCAGAAAAGCACCAAAGCACCAGCTTATTTTAAGTATATTTCCTTAATGTCATTATTTCTAACAAAGCACTTGTGCCCATGTTTAACTTTTGTGCATGTGACTTCAGTGAGACTATTCTCATGCTTAGCGTTGGACGCAAGCTCCTATACTTCGCTGAAGCAGGACTTAAGGATGCTGCTGAATAAGGAGGTTTTAAGGCCATGCTTAGGTGCTTTCTTGAACCACGAACTTCCGGAAGTCTAACTCAAGACCGTTTATATGTAAGGCAGGATCAAGCCTCCGTTAGGTTAAATCATATCGCCACAGTAGAAACCAGGCCATTATCTTGTTCTCCTGTCAAACTGCCATGAGATTCCCACCAAGCTGCAATTGAGCACGCAAGGTCTCAGGTCAGGCAACAATGTTATTTATTTGTATTTATGGCTTATAATTATATGACTTGCTTTTTTGTATTTATTTTTCAAAT